CACACACACATATATGTTTTACAAATGAAAAATGAATATACTATAGGTTATCAAAATAGTAAACTCAGCAGAAAAAGCCTGGTTTGATGTGTGCATTGTCTGAGTGAATCCTCTGATGCAGCTAAGCTTTAAGGGATGTGTCACTCAATAATTTTTTTTCTAGTCCTGACTTTGCCAATTATGAACTATATTTCATTGTTGTGTCTGCCCTACAGTTATAAATATTGTCATATTACTTACAGTATACATTTTAATTGCTCAGTGCACAGTCCTAGTTAATACTAGGGATGCACCGATACTAGTATCGGTGCCGAGTATTTGGAGCATGGAGCCAGCTTCCCGACCAATCAGAAAGGCGGGCAGCGTGTAATGACCTCATGACCAGGGAGCATGGAGCCAGCTTCCCGGCCAATCAGGAAGCCGGGGCGCTGCGTCATTTTACGGCGCTCGGCTTCCTGATTGGCCAGAAAGCCGGGTCCCTGCTTTCTCATCACCTAGTGACGAGAAGCATGGAGACGGCTTCCCTGCTAATCGGGAAGCCGGGTGGTGAGTTTTTACACGCTGCCCGGCTTCCCAGCTAATCAGGAAGCCAGGTGGCAAAGTCATTACATGCCGCCTGGCTTCCTTAATGGGATCACGATCAGTGAGTACCGAAAAAAAAAATATCAGTACTTTTACTCGATACCGACATACCGGTATTGGTGCATCCCTACAAATAAGGTATTAATGGAATAGTGGCTGTGTGTTGGAAACTAACGAATCTAACCTCTCCACTCCAGAAAAGGTTGTGGTTGCTCCTCTGATGTAGTAGCCATGAGAATACAGAACCATGTCCACCTCTTTTCCATAATGTGCAGGATATTCTTGTGTCAACCTGTAATCACAACATAGTATCAAAAGACAGGAAGTTATATTTAAAAATATGAGAATGTACAGTGCTTTGTAGTAAATGGGTCTTCAGTTATTTTTTATTTAGGAGTTTAAAAAAAAACATAGTTAAAGTTTATTTTAAACCAGGTAATTTCGAAATAGTGTGTGTGTGTGTGTGTAATATATAATATATTTTTAACATTTACATGGCTCTTTTAACAGCCAGTGTCCTAGAACAGACCTAATTAGGAGAGAGACTAGATTAGACATACTCATGTATTTGTTTTGTCCTTTTGCTATGACATAGTGTATTCTTTATGCCAGGTCTTATTCAGGAATTTAAAATCTGTTTATTGATCTCATCAAGTTGTATACAGTATATTGTCCTGCGTTCGTCTTATGTCTAGTATATTAAATATTGTATGATGACATATTAACTTTTCATTGAGCATAAATTTGTTTTAAGTGGATGATGGGATGATGACCTCTAAAAATAGAACACTTCGTTTTTTTTCTAGCAGGGACAGATTTTTATGGGAACAGAGTCCAGGTATATTATATGATGAGACTCCATGCCTCCCTCCTCACTAAATTAATAATACAAAAACTGTAACTGTTTTTTACAAAAAGTCAGCAATAGTTAGACCTGTAGTAAACTATTCTATAGGCCAAAAGCCTTTGTGCAGACTAAGGCTGCTCTGAGCAGTTTAAAAGTGAAAGTAGAGGGGCAAACAGAGGGTCAGACTGAGCCTCTTCTCATTACTGTACTGTACAATGCTTCTAAGTATTTAACCCTTTGTTGGGACAGACAGTGTTCACATCTAGTTTTCAACTGATAATGAGATCTGCCAGCTTAGTAACTGTAACTGTAACTGTAAACTCTAAGGGCCTGTTCATATTGTGGTGACCTGTCACAGCCAATACAATCACCGCTTTATAAAGAGTATAAAAAGCTCCCAATCAGATATAAGAATGATGGAGAGGCAAATCGCCAATAATACAAATGGCCAGGTGAACTAGCAGCCAGGTAAACAGCAGGAGCAATAGACACTCAAAAAACAGCATGACAGCCATCCTAATCATGAATTTATCTGCAATTTTGATTGGTTCCCCATCTTATGTCACGTTAGCCATTCGGTATATATATTTGGACTTGGGTCACTGGCATTTTAGCTAGGGTTGCCACCTGTCCAGGATTCACCTGGACAGTCCGGGTTTTGAATGCTGTGTCCAGGTTTCATGGCAGCAGAAACCCGGACACAAGATGTCAGGCAGACAGGGCAACCAAAATTAAGATAGGGGCTACTGGCCCCCAACTGAAAATAGTCTTGACTGTGATATCTACATATTAATGGGCGGCGCCATATACATATGAATAAGGCACGGCTCATTCTCCCCCAAAAAATGTCAGCGCGTCGCTAGAGTGTTCAGGTTTCACCTGAAGAAAAGGTGGTAACCCTAATTTTAGCTCTGAAAAAAGCTGGGTGTGTTTTGTTCTATATCACTCATTCCACTCTGTACATGTAAGTCGTTTTATTACTACTTAAGCCTTTTTGACTGCAAATAAACGGCATCCCACAAGGAGAAGGTACTGTCTTCTGTGTTTGTGTTTTTGAATGTTCTATGAGGACATGTCCCAGTAGCCTTGTGGACGACAGCCTCTCCTTAAGTGTTCAGTTGAGAAGATTGGGGAAGAGAGTCCAGCTATGGTCTGCTGGGCGCTGTGTACTTTTTTGTCCTTTGTTGCATACACACACAGCTCTCCTCCTGCAGTCCCTTTGCAGTCAGTTCCTGTCTACATGCATGCAATACATAAATGGCTGCATGGCATTTTTTTTGAAGAGGTTTCCTGATGGTGAATTGGGCGACAGGGATAGACCTTTGTTACTCTATAACAGGAAGTGCTGGCAAAAAGACTTTCATTGCAGGATCACCAGTACTTTTGAAATTAAAGACGTTAGGAGATTTTAGTATTTTGTACATCTACTTTAAGTACACAGGACAATTTGCTACTATCAAAAATGCACTACCTGCCTTACACTGACCCGGAAAGTTTGCACTGGAAGACAGGGTGTCATTCTGGAACGTTTTCTATACACAATATGCTGCTGACAGTCAGTAACATGCTTTGTGGAAAGCTGTATTTTACCCCCTCACATGTTGCTGCCCTAGGCCATGGTCTGACTTTGTTGGCTATACAGAAATCAAGCCCTGATTGCTAGTTTGTGTTCATCAGATAGATAAAATGTTGTGTTTCAGCAGGTTTTTGTTCCATCTACAGTCTTTAACATTGCCTCCAAAAACACCAACTAGAAACAGGTAAATAGTCACCAATGATTAGCTGCATTTTGTGCCTTGTCTGTTTTTGTTCACTTTGAACAGATCTCACTCACCGAATAATCTCTAATTCTCTCCGTTAGCAGATTGACAATGTATTACATGGTTGTGAAAAAGATTTCTAGATTTCTTTGAACTTACCAGCAGGCATACGAGCATCTTTTACTGTAACGGCAGCAGTAAAATTGCCATTCCCTGTCCAGTACTGAATCGAAGTACTGACTCTGAATTCCTGCCACCAAGCCATTGTTGGAACATGTCTGATACCTGAAAATGAAAAATATCAGGATAATAAATACAGGTTTAAATACCTTTCTCGCTTTATTTTCTGTAATGTTATGAATTTTATAACGTTATTCATAACACTTCCCAATTCTAAAGCAGTGATTTTCAGTGCCAGTATCTTGTACATCGTATGATAGAGCGTAAAAAATGAATCCAGATTAAACAAATATACATTGCCCAGCACAGTATTTCTTTACATTTTTGCTCAAGCACTTTCATCATGTTTCCAAATAGCCATCTCCAACTCTTTCAGCTCGGCTTCCCTGAACTTCTTGTCCAGTAAGGGATCACAAAGGAGAGCACAGTCTCCAGGAGCTGTCCATCTGCTAGCTTAGAGAAGGGAGGAGGGAGAAAGGAGGAGGGGAGAAGCAGAAAGCAGGGAGTGTCTTGAAGTGTTGTGGCTTTGTGTTTCTGGAGACACACAAGGCTGACCCTATAGGACTCTGCAAGGGAAAGGAGCCACCCTAACACAAGATATCTTATAATAACTTTTAACCCTTTCCCTGCCACTGACAGTATGGGTGTCCTCAGGGTACTCCAGTTTCCTCCCACACTCCAAGGGCATGCTGGAGGGCTAATTGGCTCCTGTGTAAATTGACCCTTATTTGTATGAATGTGAGATAGGGACCTTAGATTGTAAGCTGCTTGAGGGCAGGGACTAATGTGACTGTGCACTGCGTATACTGTATGCGCTATATAAATACCTGTAATAATAATATCACAGGTGCGAGCTTCGAGTGGTGGTTACTTTTCAACACACACAGAGACCATGGGGAACAAAAGTAGCCACCCTCCAGAAGGAATTTTCCATTTAACTCAGGTGTCTTAGGTTCGGCGCTTGCAGGGGACCTTGTGGCAGCCTTCTGTGGAGCCATGTGATGCCTGCTTACAGCGCTTCCGCCACACGCACATCTTCCCTTACTAAGACCTTCCGCACCCATCCTGACACCCCCTGCCGAAGACATTAGGTCAGAACCCCAGAGTAGAGCGGCAGCACAGAGTATGTAGCAAATTAATATACTATTATTCTGCATTGCTCTATGTTTTGCTGGGATTTGTAGTCATCTATAGCTGATGGCATTATTCTGCAATGCTGTATAATGTATTGATGAGATTTGTAGTGCTCCATAGCCGGTGCCATTCTGCATCGCTATATTATGTATTGCTGAGATTTGTAGTCCTCTATAGCTGGTGGTGGTATGCTGTATTACGGTATCATTTATTACTGGGATTTGTAGTCCCCTATAGCTGGTGGTATTCTGCATTGCTGTATAACATAGGCGAATATTTATACAGCCCAGCTAAAATTGCTTTAAACTATAAAGGAAAGCTTTTGAGAGTTTTCCTCTCTTTCTCAGGTCTAAAGCAATAGGTCTACTGCTAAGTATTAGGTTAGTACAATAAAAAGGTATCATTGCATGCCGCATTACTCTCGTATTTTGTAATCTTTATATATATATATATATACTATTCAGTTTTTTTCAGTGGTATGATTTAGTGGTGAGAATTATTAGTGCCCCCCAGTTTTGACTGTAGAATCTTATGTGGCCCCCCTATATATCGTTCCTAGAGTTGCCACTGTTCACTAGCTATAAACAATCTTTGTTTTACAAATAATTATTTAATACACCTCAAAGGGTTCACACAGCACAGAAGACCAGCTTAATTCAGTAATATTTACCACACTAAAAAAAAAAATTAAAAAAGGAATCTTTTTATTTTAATATTTTATTTAACAACAATTGTTTATCGATAGTGAAGAATAAATATAAAAACAGTTACACAATTTAAAACTTAAAAAAAACTAACCCAAATCCATTATGGCTTCTTTTTAAATTAATTCTGAAACTTAGTCCTGTATATATTAGACAAAAAAAAAAGGAACACGAAAGAAACAAAAACACTGTACATGCCCTTCAAGTGTTATCTGTGGGTTTACAATAAGAGCAAGCAAATATTTGTAGAATCAGTAAAAGAAAATACTCCCAAACAAAATCAAATTCCTTATTTTTAGAAGGAGGGAAGGAATGGCTGCTTATATATGTTTCTCAGCAGAGGATTCCTAAAAGCGTTAGTGGAGAAATTTGCCCCTCAAGGTCTAATTACAACATTTAATAAAATAGGGGGAACACAGAAAACTGTTGCAAACCTTCGGAAATAGACCGACAAGGTTCGCATTGGTATTGCACAAGCCCATTTCTCTCTCTTCCATTAGATGGCAGTAAGGGATTTAATGTCACTTTCATTAGATTATGTTTCAAGGATCCCTTCAGAGGAAGCAAGTTAAAGTGACACTAAACTCAGGAGTTAAATCTTAAAAATGCATTCAAGTACCTTAACTATTAACAAAAATAGAGTTTATTTGTGTATTAATCAGCTGTAGATCCTCAAATCATCTCTGAATTGGTGCGGACACTGTCCTTCCTTCTGAAGGGTGGCTAATTTTGTTCCCCATGGTCCCTGTTAGTGCAGGGCCGGATTTACTCTCCCTGCCGCCCCAAGGCTAGGTTCCTTTTTCCTATTTTTTACATTTTTAATCACTTTTTTTTTATTTCATATTTTTTTAATTACATTTTTATTTTTTAATCAATGTAATTTTTCTTTCCACCTAACGTTATTGCTATCACACAAGAGAAGCAATAGAGAAGTGTGATAGCAATTGGAGGTGACAGGTTCTCTGTATTGACCCTGTCACCTCCAATGCAGGAGTTCTAGCACAGCGCTGTGCTGGAACCGCTGTGACAGGTAAGAGGAAGAGTACAGCTCTCCCCTCTCACTGTGTACACGGAGCGGCAGGGTTACTTTTATCCCTGCCGCTCTGCTCCCTGCAGTGAGGAGAGAGGCGGAGGACGGAGCCAGCGAGGAGAGAGGTAAGTGCAGGGGGGAGGGGAGGACGGACCGGCCGGCTGCAGACTTTTTACATGTGATCTCGGCGACATCGCCGACATCACATGTGAACGAACAATCGGCTTCCCTCACTTTGCACAAGCAGGACTAAATGTAGAGAGGGCAACTTACCGCCCGGTGTCCGGAACTTCCCCACAAGGACACCGCTGCCGCCCCTCTGCGCCCTGCCGCCCCGAGGCCGGGCCTCAGTGGCCTTGTGGGAAATCCGGGCCTGTGTGTGTTGTAAAGTAGCCACCACTCCTAGCTCACTCCTGTGATGGACTACAATCTCAATACAAATGAGTAAACTAAAAGTGAGATTGTAGTTCATCACGGGAGCAAGGTTGGAGTGGTGGCTACTTTACAACACATAAAGGAACCCTGGGGAACAAAAGTAGGAACCCTGGGGAACAAAAGTAGCAAAGGACAGTGTCAGCACCAATTCAGAGATGATTTGTGGCACTTGAATGCATTTTTAAGATTTAGTGTCACTTTAAAACATTTAACTTGCTTAATTAATAACTGCTCTAGTGCATGGGCAGATTATAACTGCTAGGAAGTTGTTTATTCATTTCTTATCAAATGACTGTTACTGAATAATGGAACACAATACTTTAGCCATGTATACTTTCCAGTTTTTATACCAAAAATGTTGCTTTGACTGTAATTATGTACTTTCACCTTATGTCTGTGCTTCTACCGTGTTTCCCCGAAAATAAGACCTAGCACTATCTTCGGGGATTTCTGTAATATAAGACCCCGAAAATAAGACCTAGTTCGGTGGTAGGTCTTATATTACAGACATCCCTGAAGATAGCGCTAGGTCTTACCTTCGGGGTAGCTGCACATGTAATTCAATTTTACATGTAAAGAACGGCCGCAGCTCCCTCCCGCCCACCTCCCTCGTCCGCCCACCTGTCTGTTGCTCTCTGTGGCATCAGAGCGGAGAGGCAGCTCTATCCCGTCCCCCTGCCAAACATGTAAAGCAAAACAAACGACAAACGCACTCAACAATTTGTTACCAGTTATACAGTAAGGTGCACACGAAATGGGCTTTGAACAGTAGAACAGTAGAAAGGCATCATGGCACACTCACAAACCAGCATGTAAAACAACTTGTCTCACCACTAAGGACAATGACAGAGGTTTGGATACACGTCTTCTGCAAAGGATGTGTAAGCCGCACTGCCGCGCCAAGGCACCTCTTATAGTGCGGTCCTAACTCTAAACTATGAGAGTCTCCATCTTGGAGCACATGGGGGCAGAAGATATCAAATTGGGTGCAGGCCTGTCAGGAGGACGCCCCACCTCCTTAAAGGTACAGAAACACACAGGAGGACGCCCCCCCCGCACGCATGCCCGCCCCCTCGCCCACCTGTCTGTTTCTCCATATATTGCATCAGAGCAGAGAGGCAGCTCCCTCCCGCCCCCCTGCCAGACACGCCCGCACGCCCGCCCACCTGTTCGTGGCCCCCTGGACGGCAGAGCGGACAGCTGCAGCCAGATAAGACATCCCCCGAAAATAAGACCTAGTGTCTTTTTTCGTGAAAAAAATAAAATAACACACTGTCTTATTTTCGGGGAAACACGGTATAAGAGCGAAGCTGCTAAAGTGGTTATCAGGTTCTGTCCTCCCAAGGTGAAGGTGACCTTGACCCCCAAGTGTTCCACTTATTGTGAGTACATACAGCCCCAATAATAAGGGTTGAACTTTAACTTTGCTTTTCTTTATCCACCTTGTAATACAACTCGTAATCCTATTCTACTAAATCACAAAGAGGCTTTCCTCGTAAAAAAATACATGAATACCTTGCTGGGAAGATCTATATGCTTTGCAATTACAGACATTCCTCACTTACCGACTTACCTGTTTTGCGACCACTCGCACTTACGACGGACCGCCGCTCGACCTCCGACCTTGCACGTCAGCATCAGCGCGCCGTGTCGCCGGCGGAAGTGGTGTCCTCCGATCTTCACTGCGGGTTCCGGTAAGTATTTTAATTGCCCGATGTACAGTACACTGTTCGGTACTGTACATCGGCAACGCTATACAGTACTGTACTAATGCAGTACAGTACTGTATAGCGTTCCTCACT